AAGATTAGTGAGTGCTAAACAAAAATTGGAAAATATTCACAAGAGACTCACTCACTCACAAAAGATGGGCTTAATGGATAGCTGGTATTTCAACTCGTCGTTGTGTTTTATGCTCGAAAATGCCCAGCCATTGAACTTCAGTTGACACCAGTTCAGTTTACAAGGCATTAGGTCACATACCTCTGAAGGTTGATGCTCCATACTATACAATTGAATTTCACTGCCTCTGCCCCGTCGCTGATCTGCAGGCAAAGTTGTGGATCAACTGTCGAAAAGTCGTCGAGTTACTACTATTTATATTCAATATATAAAATCATCCATAATTCTCCATTTATATCACACTAATTAAATAGTACTTATTGAAATACCATTTATAAGGAAACTTCTGCCACGGGTGCAAATGGATCAAGAAGCTCAAGAGGTTCAACAACCTCCACTTTGTACCCAATGTGGAAATTGTCAAAACGAAGGCAACATATCCTAGTACTATTTGATTTCTTATTGAATTTACATAAATGAGGCCAAAAAAAAAAAATGTTTTGAAATGTCCAACAATACTTGCCACTGATTACTCCATTTATCCAATAATAGTTATTCACTATACTATTTTGGAATGTCTAACAATACTTGTCTACTTTATAAAATCAATAGGTAATTTTATACTTAGTTCCTATTTTACCCTTATTATTAATTATAGTCAATCCTTTATAACATTTTTCAAGACATTGTATTTATTATATTCAAAAAGTGATTAGTAAAATTACACTTCTATTTATAGTTTCTTAAAAAATGTGTAAAGTCAATACTCCCTTCATTTCAAATTAATTGAATTGTTGAGACATTTTTCAATTTTCAAATTAGTTTAATTGTTCAATCTTCAATACTACTTTTAGAATATTTTCCAATTTTACCCTTCATTAGTTAGTATTGAAATTAGTATTATAATTAATGTTTAGTTATTTTAATCATAAATTTGACAATAATTAATAAGGGTAAAAATGAGAAATTATGTCTAATTTATCTCTTACCCTTCTTTTCTTAAAGGATGTGAAACACGTCAATATTTCAATTAATTTGAAATGAAGGAAATAGTAGACAAATATTATTAAACATAGGAATAAATAATATTTGAATTATCATTACATTTCGATTGGGACCATGAATCAAGAAAAGGAGGGAGCCAAAGAAATTAGAGAAATCTTGAAAGGTTCAAAAGGTTATGGTGTATGACATTAAGGTTCAAAATGTTATAATTTTTGTTATTCATCGGAACTTATACAAAGTTACTAGCTTTTAAGTACGTTCATTGCATGTGAATTCCTTATTAATATTAAAAGAAAGTTAAAATTCATATATATAATATTAAAAATCATATTGAGTTAAATAAAAAGTAACCACAAAAAGTTCCTAAAATGTGAAAATTTATAATCTTATTAATAGCTAACTCAACAAAGGAAAAAGTTATAACGAAATTGTATGTCATGGCAATAAATTACATTTTACTTCTAACAAAACAAAATTAGACCCTCTCATTTATAAGTTCTGTCAACTATTTGAATTACGACCCACATTTAATGTATTTTAATTTAAATATTTTTAGAATGCATCAATAATTCATTTGCTTATATTAATTTATTTTAATTTGATCAAATTTCGAATTAACATGATTTATTTTTAAATTTAGATAACTCGTTTATTGGACACCTCTAAATAAAATCAAAAGTTTAATGTGTAGACAAGTGCAAGTGGATTAAAAAGGTCAAGAGGTTCAAATAGATTCCGCGTTTTTTTTTGTGGAAATACATAACATGTGTAGTAGATTTTTCCATGCTATAGTCACTGTGGAAATTGCCAAAGGGAAAAAGAGAGTCAAAGAAATTTCCATGTGTTGGACTATTGGTTCTTTATTGAATTTAGTCTCAAATTTCACACATACTTTTGATTGGGACCTACAAATCGGGATAATAGGAAAGTCTCGAAAGGTTCAAAAAGTTGTGGTGTATTACATTAGGTTCAAAAAGTTGTGATTTTATTATTTGATGAAGCTTTTAAGTATGTGGACTGCTGGTGAATCCTTAATCAATATCAAAAGAAAATTAAAATTTGTATAAATAATATTTAAAAATCAAATCCTAGTTGAACAAAAATTACCAAAAAACTTCCTATAATGTGATAAATATAAATAATCTATCTATTTATATCTATATTATTTTATACAATATTATAAACATGAAGGTCCTTACAAATGTTAATTGAACTGTTTGTCTTTTATTAAAGGGAAAATGCTCAAATATGTCATCAAACTTTCAGAAAAAGACTTATTTATGCATCAGTTAAAAGTTTGGCTAATCTATGTCATTGTTGTTAAAGAAAAGGCTCATCCAGACCATTTTTTTTAACTCCGGTTTTACAAAACCACCTTTTTACACCCCAATGGTTTAACACTTTTCAATTAAGATCAAATGTACTCTTTTTGCTTGTTCTTCCTTAAGAACACCATGAATCTTCTTAAAGGTGAGCATTTCGATTTCCTACGTTCAATTCCTAGTCCTTAAAGAAGGTATTTGTGCCCTTAGGGGATGGTTTGAATTCATCTTTTTCACGATCCAAAAGTCAATTGTGATGACACCTGCCTTATCCCACCAATATAGGCCAACTTAAACAACCCTTGGCAAGGGCAATAACAGAAGTAAGAAAGAAATCAAGAACCAAACGTAACATAATAATGCAAAACCCTTAATATAACACAACTTTCCCCCAAAACCTAGTGTCACGTGTACAAGCCTCTAAATAATACAACATATTCAAAAGAAGTACAAGTCTACAATAATGGGATAGTAGAAAGACATAATCAAGAGTATGTGATGAGTGTTGAGATGATCACGAACTCCAAAGGCAAGTCTCGAATGAAGATGCGAAAGGATGATCAAGATGATCCAGTCGTAACCTACACAAGTGTGGAAAGCAAGGGAGTAAGTACCAAACAATAACGGTACTCAACAAGCATTCCTAGGTAACCCTAAGTAAAGTGATATCGAACACAAGCACCCCGTCACACCTTCTGAACCTCCTTAAACTACAATCTCCATAGAATTTAGAAGCAGCTCATCCTAACAGTTTCACAAGTAATAGAGCAACACGTTACATGTAATACACCATTATTCACATATCAGAGTCTCCATAATATCACCACAACTTGTCAGATCTAGATAGCCACGAAAACATAACAACTCACTCATAAAAGACAAGAATGACAATGAGGTGTGAATACAATGCAATGTAATGTCATATAGAATGAAGCATGTCTGTTCTGTTGATTCACACTCACTGACTAGTATCCCGGGACACATAGAGGACCTATATGTCCATGCATTCACTACACAACTGCTAACTAGAAGTTGAGGACCCATAAGGGACATATTAGTCCACGCATCCATTGAATTCATTTTTCATCGGTATAAACATCATAAATCGTCGAAACCATTTTCCATCGGCATAAACATCAATCGCCGGAATCATTTTCCATAAGCATAAACATCAATCGCCGGAATCATTTTCCATCAACATATCACGAATTCAAATCTCACAATAGTGTTTCAGATTCAATGCAAATAAGCATGCTCACATGTATAATGAGAAGATAATAAATTCCACATCAATAACCAATCCATATACACAATTATGGCACATTATCAAAAGTGAGTCAAGATAATCATTCAAGTTACTCGTGACACATCACACAATATTATATCTACCAATTCATTTTTCCACACATGATCATTACAAATATTCAGGCAACGTTTAATAACAAGTATAATATAAGAAGACGTTCACCATTCCCCATTACTCCCAATTATACAACAAGACATACAAGGTTCAATATACTTAACAAAAGGTTAAAAAGGTCCACTTACCTTAAAAAGGAAAGAAATCAACTCGGTACTATTCATGTCAATTTATTTTAATTTTCAAACGCCTATCTATTCATATCAATTTATTTTAACGTGTTCAAATTCAAATTAACGTGATCTATTTTAAAATTTAGATCACCCGTTTATTTTCCACCTCTAAATATAGTCAAAATTTAAGTTTGTGGACAAGTGTAAATGGATCAAAAAGCTCAAAAGGTTCAAACAGACTTACCTTTTTTTTTTGTGTGGAAATTGTACATTTTTCCATGCTGTAGTCCCTGTGGAAATTGTCAAAGGTAAAAAGGAAGGCAATAAATTGTGGAGTTAGTACCATTTGTTCTTATTGAATTTATATAATATCATCCATAATACTACAAGGTAGCATTTCGTAATAGTTTTACATTAACACTGTCTATTTATACGTAGTGGCATTGAAGTCGGGGGGACACAAAATCTGGCTACCATTAGTAGGTGGTTCCATATTACAAAAAGTGAAAGTAAAATACTATTAATATTAATTTTTAAGGAGCTTGATCACATAGAACACCTTGAGGCCAAACACCATGTCAAGAACAGGAAGCTGTGAGTCCTGATGTGATTTCACGATATCAACCACCTCCGGTGTTACTATCATTGTAAGCTGACTCTCACACAGAGATGATAGTTGTAGCATCTGAAATCTCAGAAGCCGTGGAGTCCGATTTCATCTCCTCCTGCAGTGGTGATAGCATACTGCAAATGGAAGAGACAATACTATATAATGACTCCCTTACATCACCTTCACTGATTCAAAGAGGGTATTGAACTGAACATCGAGCATGGTAACACGGCATATATGTTGAGATAAATATTATTATTATTATCCAATTGTAATTAGACTAGCTGGCAGATTAGTTATGTGATTAGTTAGTTAGTCTTTCTGTTAGTTAGTTAGTTAGGCCTTGGGTATTGTGCATCAAGTAGTTAGTTAGCTAAGCTTCTAGATCTTTCTCACATTGTTGTATATATAGCGTGTAATCAACATGAAGTAATTCAGTTTTTCATTTTCCCAATTCACACAATTTGCTCCTTTTTCTCTCATCTCGAATCTCAGCTTTCCATGTTCATCAATGAAGGAATGATCTTCTCCAGCTTTGTTTGTTTCAATATGGTATCAGAGCATTGTGAATTAGTGTCCAAAGTGTTGAGTTCTTCCCACAGTTTCCTGATCTTGGTGTAATATCCAGTGATATCTAAATTGCCCTGACTGAGATCATTGATTTCTCGTTGAAGCTGATACAGTTTTACCCCATTGGTTTGATCATACCTATCTTCCAATTCATCCCAAAGTTCCTTGGCATTATCAACGTATTGCAGGCTATCTCTGAGGTCTTTGGACAGAGAATTTAAGATCCAGGAAGTCACCATATCATCACATCTTTCCCATTGGGCAAAATTGGGTGAATCTACACTTGGTTTCTGTATTTTGCCGTTTATGAAACCAGTTTTGTTCTTCACAGATAATCCTCGAAGAACAACTCTCCTTCATATCCAGATCCATAAAAAAAGAGTGGAACAATTGAGGATCCTTGTCACGACTCGATTTCTCAAGTCATGATGGCACCTACTATAACCCACCAGTAGGTAAGCCAACCCGTAACCCGGAACAACAAGTAATGGGTCTGAGGGTAGAAACTAAACAAGAGTAGGCAAATAACAATATAAACAGACAGAAGCAAACCAAAAACATATATACAAATAAAGATCCCTCCCAGAACCTGGAAGTCACTAGTACAGAGCTACTAACAAAATGAGTACAAGTCCCAAAAGTGGACAACAAAGATTGGACTGTCTCGAAAGGAAAAAGACAAGTCTATATATACAGATGGAGACTGAAATAGTACAAAACGCCGTGTGCTCACCCCCGTCTCCGGATCAGACTGCTCCAAGCTCGATCAACGCTGGCTACTAGTGCCCGGACCTGCATCACGAAACAGATGCAGAGCGTAGCATGAGTACCAAAACAACCGGTACCCAGTAGGCATCACAGGCCGACTGAACTTGAAAAGTAAAGGTAATATGAAAAGAAGGAATAACACAAACTGAAGTCAAGAACTAAAATCTAACTAACAAGGGAATGCACACGAGTGTACAAAGAACTAACTAAAGTAATCTATAAGCTAACTACACCTGACTGGGCCCCCATAAGCCCAGAAGGTACACTCGTACGCAAGTTAAATAAAAACCCGAACAGACCCCCATAAGCCCGACGAGTACACAGAATAACTATAACTAAAGAGAATTGCATAAAAGAACCCAAGAACGAAGAACACGAATCAGAACCTCAACCCTAATTAGTAAAATCTGACAGTACGGAGGCCGAACCTCGAACCGGATGCTCAGCAGAAGTACCCAAGTAACCAATCACAATATCAAGTATATGAGGCCGAAACTCTAACCGGATGCTCTATATAAGTATTGGGCAATAGAGGCCGGACCTTAAACCGGATGCTCTATAAAGGTGCCAATGTAGCTGCTGAAAGAGTCCTAATC